GGGGGAAGGAGTGGAAGGCACGGAGTGTTTTTCCGAGGCACACGGCGAACTCACCGAGGTGTAGGAAGTTGAAGAAATCGACTTGATGAAATTCTCCACGATGTTCACTTCCGACTGATACCACGTGCCGTAGTAGATGATGTAGAGATTAATCGGCTGTGTGAGCACGGCTCCGCCGTAGTAGTTTATCTGGTAGTTATTCTCCTTCATGGTTTCCGTGCGGTTCGAGAAGCGGTGATACTCCTTCTCCGGGTCCGCGCCGAGAATGGACATACGATGCAGGAAGCTCCCGTAGGTGCGCTTCGCGCGCGCCTCGGCTTCGATACGCTTTTTCGCACCCAGTAGTGCCCCGCTGTCCGCTGGAAACACCTCCCCGCCATTCGAGCTTTTAAGATGAATTTCGGAGGCTGGGATTTCCCCTTGAGATTCGAACGGGCTTAGCGGGAGTTTCGAGCGGCCGATCTTGAGGTCTCTGAAGCGGGCGTGCTGCCGGTGGGCAGGCGGAATGACGACACGGTGACGATTAAAGAATCCGTGAGCGCACCGAGCGTAAATGGCCGAGAGAATTAATGAAAGGAATATAAACTGTAGGGAACGTGTGAAGGCCATGACGTAAGGGTTGTCCGGCGCTTGAAACTCAGCTATCGGTTTTCGAACTAAGATCTTTAGCAACTCAGAGGCAGTTTCTCTGAGGGACAGGGTTCTTCTACCTATCCTATTGCAACAGAGGATGTTAAAATGAATAGCTGTTTACGCAAGATCGTAGCCGCGAAATGCGTCAGATTCAACCGCAGGCTGACTGATGTTGTCTAGTTAGCGCTATCTAGCTTGAAACAAATGTCGCGTCTTCGGGATATATGTACTCGAGCAGCTTTAGGTGATGGGGAAAGTCGGTGTTTTTTGGTGATGGGGAAGGGTGTTGAGAGAGATTGATGAGATGGGGGGGAAGGGTGGGATTGGGAAGGGTGGGATTTGGGGGAATGGGACGATCGCAGGGGCAACAAAACCATCGCCTGCCATCGTTACTTTTCGCAGTCCCCAGTTAACTTCTTTCGGCAAACAAAGAGATCGCCTGCGATGCCAGCAACGCACGGTTGCTGCCCCGTTGTTCTGTTACAGCGCAGCACGGCAATTTTCGCCAGAATCACAGGAGTTGGATGTGTCAACACCGTGGTGCTGCCGCGAAGGAATCCAACGAAGCAACTGACTTCCTGCCCACCCGGGTGATGGTCGCGAAAAATGATGGTTACGCATCTGCAACTCGGCTGGACCCTGCTGGATTGGTCATCCAAATCCTCGACGCATCGCGTCTGCAGCAGCCACGTGGAGTCGGTCGCAAAAGGCTCCAGCATTCCCCGACTTCCATTGAAACATTGCGACCAAAAAGACACGACGAAAAATGAACTACTCAAAGAAGTGTGGAATTCGCTATAATTTCACCAGCTCCTCTTTTACTCGGGAAAATATGCCATTCGTAACCATCATGGGACTCGATAACACTTCTGGTTTTTTTAAAAAAAAAGGATACGGTCACTGCGGGGGGTGTTTTCACGGGACTGATAAAACGTTTCACGGAGGCAGTCACTATCAACTGGTAAAAAATAACGTGAATGGTCACAGATGAAACTCCCGCCCAAAAAATATAATACCCAAAACGAACCTGGATGCATTCTCGGATGAATCAACCCTAAACACAATTTGCCAGGTGTTTAGGGTTGATCCTTTCCCAAACCGCATCCGATTCCGATTGGGTTTTAGTTTTTTTGAAGTTAGATGATTGGTTGAGCGCGAGCGGGAATTTTGTAGAGTTTCAGGATTTTTTTGCGGGAGTTACATGTGTGACCATTCGCGTGATTTTTTACCTGTTGTTAGTGACTGAATCCGTGACCCCACTTACCAAACCCGTCAGCAAACCCGATACAGTGACCGTACGCGTTACTTTTTTACCATTCACGTTATCGAGTCCCATGATGGTTACTTGTGACATATTCTCCCCTTTTACTCATCAGATTTTACCTGCAACTTCACCAGTGTTCCTGGTACTTTAATACACCCTATTCGCGATAATTGCACACCCCCTGCCTGCTTTTTTGAAGGTGCCCTATACCAATTCAGGCTCGATACGACGGACACCCTGAAACTCAGGGACTATCAGTCGACAGCGAGATGCAGTTTCTCTTGAAACTACACCATGTGTTCCGAGTGAGGGCGGGGTTGGGTAGGCACGACTGAAGTTAATGCTTACGTCTATTCGCGACTGGGTTTCGGAACGCTCACCAGCTATTCCATTTCGCAGCGAACTATCCTGCAAGAAAGTTTGTATCCCGGGTATGTACCCCCAGGGTGTGCATTTAAGGGGTGTGAAATTATCGCGAATAGAGTGTAGTATTCCTGGTACCGCGTGTGGGAACATCCCAACAAAGAAAAACCCGACAAAGGCGTCCCAATGTTCTCAGCAGCAGACCTCATAGCGCCCAACATGGCAAAATCCTCCCCAATGGTGTATGAGTTACCTACAGTATTCTACTATCCCACTCGCTACTTGACAATAGGAAACTCAACTCGTTGGTTCCACATAGCTGCAAATACGGCACATTACCAGGCCCAAATCGCCTCTGGCAGAACAACTTCCTCTCACCCAGGCCCTCAGATATCAGCGTAAAACACGCTGATTACGCTGATTTTGTAGCTGTGATTTTCGTTTTCCCTGAAAATTCAGCATATGCTTCAATTTTGCACTGAAATTTCAGTATATCCTACCTTGTCACACTGACCATTTTGCGTGTTTCTTTACAAGTAACACTGACGAATCAGTATAGTGACGTGAGTCACACTGAAACGGAGTTGACCGCGTGTACCTTCCCGTGATTCCTGAGACCCCACCCACACACACGGCACAGATATCAGGTGCGCGCCGAAGTGTTTAGCCTCGCTGGAACCTATCACAGCAACAACACCACACACCTTGTACTGGGGTTTCAGCTATAGTTTTTTGTTATTACACTGTTGGTTCAGTTTACTTATGATTTTTACACTGGCAAAATCAGTATAAAAAAAACCGTGAACGCTGATTTGGACACCTCGTTGGCCGGGGCACGCTGATCCATCAGCATACCCTCAAACCAATCTGAGGGCCTCTCACCCCTCTCCCCTCCCCCCCCACACATCCTCCACCCCCAAACCCTCTCTCCTTCGCCCACACCTGCCACTGCCGACTTCATATGCATTCACCCCTCGCTATCCGGTTTGTCCCTGCCTATGTTCTCACTAGCCGTTGCTATTCCAATCATGCCCAGCATCGCACGCTCCTTCCCAAACCTATCCAACACCGTCCCTCTCCCACTACCATCAGCATCGTCCGATCTCCCACTCCCCACTCCAGACCGTGACGATCCAACGGCTCCTATCCCCCCATCGCCAGCAGAAATCCTATCGGAAAGAGAAGCACTGATAACAGCCCAACACTCCACAGCATCTATGTTGAAGTTTGGTGTTGAAGAGAGTGAAGAGGAGTTGAATGTGGTGCTGGGGCGAGAGTGACCTGAGTCGAAATCCGACGAGAGGAAAAGGGCAAAATGACCCGGTTGGCCGCCCAGACCGATGCCATTGGGAATGGATTCGGAGGCAAAGCCTGACGCACAATGCAATGGAAATGAACGAGGGCAGGAAAGGAGAGGCTGGGTTGTGAGGAAAAGGTCGAAATGACCCGGTTGGCCGCCCAAACCGATGCCATTGGGAATGGATTCGGTTGCGAAGCCTGACGCACACTGCGATTCAAAAGAAGTGGGGCGGGAAAGGACAGGTAGAACATCAGTCCAACGATTTGAGTCAGTCCAAAAGTTGGACTGTAAGAAAGTCATCGGCAACAAGGAGAAAAAGTGGAGAATAGAGGAAGAAACATGGCATTCACTACCACACCTCCATCCACAGCAACTCAACTTTTGACACAATGTCACGTACCCACTGAATGTTAGTGCTGGTGCCAGCTGCCTTGAAAACAGCAGCAGTGGGGAGGAAGGAGAAGAGGATGGAGCTCATGTCACCGTAGAAAGCACTGCCTCGCTCCCACGGCTTGGAAGCAAAGGCCCCAAAGACGGCCCCAGATGAGTCTCGGACCACAAGAACGGTTGGATGCGGTACAGATGACACCTGAGGAGGATAGGGAAGGGTGAGTGGACAAGGAGAGCTGCATTCTGAAACGTCTGAAACCGGTTGGATGCTGAACACTATATGAGAGATGGTAGCATTTGATGCTGCCACCACTCACTTCTTTCTTCTTCCTTCATTTTAACACAAGAACGGCAATGCAGGCTATCATATTATTGTGATCAGTCCTACCTTCCCCAGAAAAGAGTTGAAGCTCAGGCCATGCAGTTTGCTGCTGTACAACAAACACCACTCCCGACACTCTTTCTCCTGTAGTGCACCAGCTATGTGCCACGTCAGCTCCTTCTGCAGCAGCCACGTGTCCTCCCTGCTCTCATGCTGCTGCTCCCCAGCTTCTTCGCTGATGTGGCAGCCACTGGCGGTGACAGGTGGCGCAATGAGAGTTGGTAGCGGCGGACCTGGAAAAGACAAACAGAGGGGAGAAGCGGCAAGAAAGTGAAGCATTTGCTAAAAGCACCAGTGGGACACTCACTAAAAAATCTACAACAAATGATCACTCGGTTACAGAATGATAACTCCGTTAGAGAAGAATTATTTTTTGGTAAAAAACATTCTGGAAATTTTCAAAATACACCTCCACTTCAGCGTTCCGTGACAATGTTCTCCTATGCTATCGGGTTAACAGCAAATGAACAAAAAAATATCTCCACAGAGCATTATTCACGTTGGTCTGAATACTTTTGATGCGCCCAGAAAGTTTTCTCCTATGCAACCGAGTTAACAGCAAACAAAATAAAATCAATCCGCAAAGACTCACGAAGATCTGGAGGGGTGAGGAGGCTCCGGAGAAACTTCTTGACAGCAGGGACTGCAGTCCACCATCGAACTGCATCCTAATATGACAACTCCCTTCCATCATCAGCAGCAACACTGGCACCATCATCATAAACTCTGGTATCAGCAGCAGCAACACTGGCACCCGCACTACCATCCCTACCTACGCCCTCCCCTTCTTGCTCTGGCCTCCCTACTTCTTTCCCCTCTGGCTGCTGCTGTCCCCCTGCTCCCTCCGATGGTGCTGCTGTTGCCGTTGCTGATGCAGCAAGCGGTGCAGCAGCTGTGGAAGACCGAGCAGAAGAGGGATGGAGAGCGGTGGAAGCGAGGGAGGAGTGACTGAAAGAAGTCCACGTACTAGATGTAGGAATAGATGGGAAGGCAGGGGAGACGAAGGCTTGGATGATGGCAAGTGTAAGGGAGTGCTGGGGGCCGAAGACAGTGGTGAGAGCACTGCGAATCACCTCTTCAACCTCTCGCCTGCGGTGTGAAGGATGCAGATGGGAATGGGGAAGGTGGAACACAGACAGAGACTGGATGCACTGGCTAGCTAACAGCATGACTTCTGAGTCGACTCAAAAGTCAGACAGAGACTGGATGCACTGGCTAGCTAACAGCATTCGACACATGCAGGACAATGCAACTCCAGAATTAGAAACACACTACAGGCCAACTCTGCATTGAGAAAGTTTACATCGCTAATTTCTCTTACTCATAGAACGTCAATGACTTGATCATAAACCAGACTCGAAAAATTTGGAGTCAGTGTACCTGTCGACTTTCCCAGACTTGAGAACGTCCATGAATTGAAAGCACATGCGGTCAATTTCATCAGGTGAACCCTTGTCAAACACAGCCTGATGGATGGGGGACAAGATTCGAATAAGATTTGGAGGGAAGAGATGGCCATAGTTGTCAGTGTCATCTCAACAACCCTTGTCAAATACAATCTGATGGAAGGGAAGCAATAACTGGATGGGACCTTGAGAGTACAGAGGGTAATAAATGGCAATGCCACCTTGGCCGTCCATGTCCTGTCCAGAACAAAGACATTGTGAAAGAAGTGAACCAGAGGCGAGAGATGGCCCCTTAGAAACATTAGGTGAAAGCAAATGCTATAAGTAAAACTGAATGTCATTTGGTAAATCCCAATCTCATCAGACCAATCACTGTAGGACCTTAAACCTTTGCATTATGCCAAAATGCAACAAAATAACCGAACATTACATAAGGTGAAAGGCGAGAGCAAACCTTGATAGCTGCAAACTCCAGGAAGCGCATGAGACCATCCTTGTTCCCCTGCGTGGCAATCTCAAAGAGGCGACCTCCAAGACTGCCATGAATGCCGTAGTATGCCTGGAGGACAGATGCGACAGAAGCAAAATGGGACAGTGAGACAGGTGGAGTCGCGCTTTGGTTGCAGTCTGAAAGAGGCGAGCTCCTAGACTGCCGTGGATTCTGCAGTATGCCTGTAGCCTGTAGGGCAGATAGGATGTGGAGGGATACAGATGGGACACACATGGCACATAAGTGAACCCAGATGGAAATTGATTCTTCTGACAGCTGACCAAAGCCGAGGAGATTGGTGGAGAGTGGTGCAGAGCAGTGCAGTTGGGTACCCATGAAGCCATACCTGGAACACACTCGCTATGACATGTTGCCCGTTGCTGCGTGACTGTGCCGCGAGTGACACAAACAAGCGCTGCAGCTCGTCCCACTCCCGAGGAGAGTACAGCCTGCCTGGCAGCAGGGGGTGCAGACAGGATGGACAGGCAAGCACACGGCAATCCCAAGGCATGGGTCAGGGCTAGATTTTACTGCAGCTCGTCCCACTCTCAAGGCGAGTAGAACTTGCCTGGCAGCAGGGGGTGCAGGCAGGAGCGACAAGAAAGCACATGGCAAATTAAATGAATGATGCAGCAGGAATAACGATGTCTGCAGCTCGACCCAGTCCCCCGAAGCGAGTACAGCAGCCAGGAGCAACAAGAACAGGGAAATCCCAACACATTCAATTATAAGTGACCGAATAGGGGTAAAATAGAACCAATTCATGTAGGTTTTCACGGCTAATAACATCCCTGATGCTCTTCTTTATAGACCTGAATACAAGCAGAATTTGAATACAGTTGATTACGTCCTCTTGCATATGCAGCCGGGAATATCGCAAAATCGGAAGGTTCCCGCAGCCACGACGGACCTTGACGGACCTTTTTAGCCGGTCAGTTCCTTCCGTCGACTGCTCGGCTCCCATCCTGTCGTGAACGTTATCCGAAAAATCTCCTAAAAAAGGACCGTCTCACGTTGCGATGTGACACCTAAGTCGGCTGAGGAAAAGCCCTGAGATTGCAATTACCAAGAACGAAATAGGCGAGGCGATGCAACCATGGAGACAATACAGCAGACGCTGCTGCCTGTCGAATTCAAATTCCTCCTAAGCTGAGTTGTGTGCTTGCTTGGTATCCGCTCACGCAGTTCAATCGGGTTCTCGACGATTCAACACGATTTCAAAACTTGACCTCTATGAACCGCAACAAACCGAGCATATCTCTATGGTTCATACAGAGATGCTGGGTTGGGGACATATCCCTGCCTGCGTCGTCGTGCAGAACGAGGTTACTGAAATTCGAGCCTAGAAGAAAAAAAGCTCGCTAGAGAGTCCTTCGTGACAAGCTTTCACGAATTACATTCACTCAAAAACACTCATAACACAACTCACAAGGAAACCAGCACCAGTATGAGACCATAGCACACCAAGGCAGAATGATGGCTCTACACATGGATCTAGCACGAGAGAAGGTACACACGCAGACACTGGCTTCATGCTTTTCTGATAATATATTCACGGCCGCTATCTAAACCTTTTCTTGCGCCTGGAAACCCCAGGCTCTGCGCGTCCAACATCGATGAGAGCGAGTCGGCAAAATGCCGTGAGGGCGGGAGAGCTGCGTCTGACGACCCAAAGGAGGGCAACGGCGACGCTCCAGTCTGTGAGCTGAAAAGAGACCCCGTTGGTGCTGACATGGCATGGGATGGCATCACGCTCAGGCTGTGGTGAATACTGGCGAACTTGGCCTGAAGTGCATGCACCTGGAAGAAAGGGCATTCATGGAAAACAACGGACGAAGGGACCAAGAGATTGAGTCTAGAAACAGAAACGAACGCTCCGCGTGATGATGCTGAGACCAGGACAAGCACGTGACATCCGTACCCTCTCTCATGCCAGCTAGTCCCTCCTTCCCCATCCATGACCACCGATAACCGATTTCATAACCCCCACTTCAACTTCCAACTCACCCGCCTCAGCTCTTCATCCAGCTCCCCGCGGCTCCTCTCCAGCTGCCCGCGCACTCTCGAGATATCAAACACCGCATCCAGCCCACCCCCTGCCACCGCCTCCAGGTCCTCCCTCAGCCGTGCAGGAAACCGGCATCAGAAAGAAACAATTGAACTTGAGCTCTGCAGACATCACAAAGTGGTCCCGGATGCCCTCGAAAATCTGCATCACCAGCGCGTTCACTATGTCTTCTGAGGACGGCGCGAGCCGGCGAGTCCAGAGGGTGGATTCGAGGAGATCCGCCAGCCTCCCTCCTCCTGTGCCGCTGCCTCCTGTTGCTGCACCAGCGGCACCACCAGCAGTAGAACCAGCACCACCAGCACCGCCACTAGCGGTACCACCAGCAGTGGTACCATTGCCGCTGGCTCGGTTGGTTCCCCCTACTGCCCCTCTGTCGCCCCGGCCGTCGTCGCTTGGACTGGACTGGTAGTCGGTCGGGCCAAAGGGCGGCGAGTTCTGTCTGCTTGTGGCTGCTGGGACCGGCATGGGCGTGGATGCTTCGAAGGCGCCGACAGCAGCGAGGAGGGAGGAGTCGTGGTTGGGCATGGCTGAATCAAAGAAGGATCGCAGTGCAGATCGAGACTGTATGGGAGGAAGCGGGGTGGAAGAAAAAACAAGTGAAGGAAGGATGAGCATAAGGAGGGAGCAGAGACGAGGGGAGAGTCGTGGTTGGGCATGGCCGAGTCGAAGAAGGAACGCAGGGCGGAGCGAGACTGCAAAGGGGAGGGGGGAAGGGTTTGGAAGAAGGGGAACAAGTGAGGAAGTATGAGCAAGGAGTGAGCGTTAGGAGGGAGCAGGAAGGAGGGAGGAGTCGTGGTTGGGCATGGCCGAGTCAAAGAAGGAATGCAGGGCGGAGCGAGACTGCAAAGGCCGGAAGAATGGAAAGGGGCAGTGAGGACGAGAGGGACACTGGTGTGCGTGGCAGAAGAAATATTCATTACATTTGCTGTGCGAAACTAGGAGAGAGGAGGGTTGTGAGAGGGAATGGAGGGAGATGGCCTACCCTGTTATGCAGAGACCATGTGACGAAGCGAGTAGTGCTTGTGAGATCCTCCATGCACCTGAGGGCACGCAGCAGAGGGCGGGTGGAGCGAGACAAAGGGCAGAAAGACACGGAATTGCAAGCAGAGGAGGCTGACTGAAACATGTGTGCTGCGGAGTGGCCACGTGTTAAAGGCAGTGGTTCTTGAAAGAAGACGGGAGTAGTGATCGTGGAATCAGACCACAAACTTGTGATATGACGGGAGTCGTGATTGTCGAATGGAGGAGCACTCAGCGAGCACTCACTTGTCAATGCAGGAGCGCTCTGTTGCATCCACGAACTTGTGGTACGACTCCTGCACCCTCCCCCACTGCTCACTGCCAGTCCCCCAACCTGCCCAGCCTCCCCTAGACTGTGGCACCTTCTCCCTCTCACTCACTTGTCAATGCAGGAGCGCTCTGTTGCATCCACGAACTTGTGGTACGACTCCTGCACCCTCCCCCACTGCTCACTGCCAGTCCCCCAACCTGCCCAGCCTCCCCTAGACTGTGGCACCTTCTCCCTCTCACTCACTTGTCAATGCAGGAGCGCTCTGTTGCATCGACGAACTTGTGGTACGACTCCTGCACTCGCTCTATGAACGTTTCATGCACCAGCATCGGCTCATTGTCCCTCTGAGGAGTGGGGATGGGAAGGGAGGTAATGTGTGTGTGTATGCGATTCAACTTGTGGTATGGCTCCTGCACTCGCTCTATGAACGTCTCATGCACCAGCATCGGCTCGTTGTCCCTCTGCATTGAGGGGATGGGAAGAGATGGAAAGGGGGGATGGGAAGGTGACAGACAGATAGAGCCGTTTTGTATGTGTGAGTCAACTTGTGGTACGACTCCTGCACTCGCTGTATGAACGTCTCATGCACCAGCATGGGCTCGTTGTCTCTCTGAGTAGGGGGATTGGGAAGGGGAGATGTCAAGGGGAGATGTCAAGGGGAGATGTCAAGGGGAGATGGGAAGGGGAGATGGGAAGGGGAGATGGGAAGGGGAGATGGGAAGGGCAGATGTCAAGGGGAGATGGGAAGGGGAGATGGGAAGGGGAGATGGGAAGGGCAGATGTCAAGGGGAGATGGGAAGGGCAGATGTCAAGGGGAGATGGGAAGGGGAGATGGGAAGGGGAGATGGGAAGGGCAGATGTCAAGGGGAGATGTGAAGGACAGATGTCAAGGGGAGATGGGAAGGGGACAGGGACACGGAGGTGATTTGTGTGTGCGAGTCAACTCGTGGTATCACTCCTCCTTTCGCTCTATGAACATTTCATACAACAGCATGAGCTCGTTGTCCCTCAATCATGTGGGGACGGAAAGAAGGCGAGCGGGAGGAGGTGGGGTAGAGTCAGAGAGAGGGAATGAGGGAAGGAATGGGGAGCAGGTGCCTGTCAGTGTGAGCAATCTTTTGGCATGCTTCCTGTGTGATTAGGGAGGGAATAAGGGAAGGAATGGGGAGCAGGTGCCTGTCAGTGTGAGCAATCTTTTGGCATGCTTCCTGTGTGATTAGGGAGGGAATAAGGGAAGGAATGGGGAGCAGGTGCCTGTCAGTGTGAGCAATCTTTTGGCATGCTTCCTGTGTGATTAGGGAGGGAATAAGGGAAGGAATGGGGAGCAGGTGCCTGTCAGTGTGAGCAATCTTTTGGCATGCTTCCTGTGTGATTAGGGAGGGAATAAGGGAAGGAATGGGGAGCAGGTGCCTGTCAGTGTGAGCAATCTTTTGGCATGCTTCCTGTGTGATTAGGGAGGGAATAAGGGAAGGAATGGGGAGCAGGTGCCTGTCAGTGTGAGCAATCTTTTGGCATGCTTCCTGTGTGATTAGGGAGGGAATAAGGGAAGGAATGGGGAGCAGGTGCCTGTCAGTGTGAGCAATCTTTTGGCATGCTTCCTGTGTGATTAGGGAGGGAATAAGGGAAGGAATGGGGAGCAGGTGCCTGTCAGTGTGAGCAATCTTTTGGCATGCTTCCTGTGTGTTTAGGGAGGGAATAAGGGAAGGAATGGGGAGCAGGTGCCTGTCAGTGTGAGCAATCTTTTGGCATGCTTCCTGTGTGATTAGGGAGGGAATAAGGGAAGGAATGGGGAGCAGGTGCCTGTCAGTGTGAGCAATCTTTTGGCATGCTTCCTGTGTGATTAGGGAGGGAATAAGGGAAGGAATGGGGAGCAGGTGCCTGTCAGTGTGAGCAATCTTTTGGCATGCTTCCTGTGTGATTAGGGAGGGAATAAGGGAAGGAATGGGGAGCAGGTGCCTGTCAGTGTGAGCAATCTTTTGGCATGCTTCCTGTGTGATTAGGGAGGGAATAAGGGAAGGAATGGGGAGCAGGTGCCTGTCAGTGTGAGCAATCTTTTGGCATGCTTCCTGTGTGATTAGGGAGGGAATAAGGGAAGGAATGGGGAGCAGGTGCCTGTCAGTGTGAGCAATCTTTTGGCATGCTTCCTGTGTGATTAGGGAGGGAATAAGGGAAGGAATGGGGAGCAGGTGCCTGTCAGTGTGAGCAATCTTTTGGCATGCTTCCTGTGTGATTAGGGAGGGAATAAGGGAAGGAATGGGGAGCAGGTGCCTGTCAGTGTGAGCAATCTTTTGGCATGCTTCCTGTGTGATTAGGGAGGGAATAAGGGAAGGAATGGGGAGCAGGTGCCTGTCAGTGTGAGCAATCTTTTGGCATGCTTCCTGTGTGATTAGGGAGGGAATAAGGGAAGGAATGGGGAGCAGGTGCCTGTCAGTGTGAGCAATCTTTTGGCATGCTTCCTGTGTGATTAGGGAGGGAATAAGGGAAGGAATGGGGAGCAGGTGCCTGTCAGTGTGAGCAATCTTTTGGCATGCTTCCTGTGTGATTAGGGAGGGAATAAGGGAAGGAATGGGGAGCAGGTGCCTGTCAGTGTGAGCAATCTTTTGGCATGCTTCCTGTGTGATTAGGGAGGGAATAAGGGAAGGAATGGGGAGCAGGTGCCTGTCAGTGTGAGCAATCTTTTGGCATGCTTCCTGTGTGATTAGGGAGGGAATAAGGGAAGGAATGGGGAGCAGGTGCCTGTCAGTGTGAGCAATCTTTTGGCATGCTTCCTGTGTGATTAGGGAGGGAATAAGGGAAGGAATGGGGAGCAGGTGCCTGTCAGTGTGAGCAATCTTTTGGTATGCTTCCTGTGTGATTAGGGAGGGAATAAGGGAAGGAATGGGGAGCAGGTGCCTGTCAGTGTGAGCAATCTTTTGGCATGCTTCCTGTGTGATTAGGGAGGGAATAAGGGAAGGAATGGGGAGCAGGTGCCTGTCAGTGTGAGCAATCTTTTGGCATGCTTCCTGTGTGATTAGGGAGGGAATAAGGGAAGGAATGGGGAGCAGGTGCCTGTCAGTGTGAGCAATCTTTTGGCATGCTTCCTGTGTGATTAGGGAGGGAATAAGGGAAGGAATGGGGAGCAGGTGCCTGTCAGTGTGAGCAATCTTTTGGCATGCTTCCTGTGTGATTAGGGAGGGAATAAGGGAAGGAATGGGGAGCAGGTGCCTGTCAGTGTGAGCAATCTTTTGGCATGCTTCCTGTGTGATTAGGGAGGGAATAAGGGAAGGAATGGGGAGCAGGTGCCTGTCAGTGTGAGCAATCTTTTGGCATGCTTCCTGTGTGATTAGGGAGGGAATAAGGGAAGGAATGGGGAGCAGGTGCCTGTCAGTGTGAGCAATCTTTTGGCATGCTTCCTGTGTGATTAGGGAGGGAATAAGGGAAGGAATGGGGAGCAGGTGCCTGTCAGTGTGAGCAATCTTTTGGCATGCTTCCTGTGTGATTAGGGAGGGAATAAGGGAAGGAATGGGGAGCAGGTGCCTGTCAGTGTGAGCAATCTTTTGGCATGCTTCCTGTGTGATTAGGGAGGGAATAAGGGAAGGAATGGGGAGCAGGTGCCTGTCAGTGTGAGCAATCTTTTGGCATGCTTCCTGTGTGATTAGGGAGGGAATAAGGGAAGGAATGGGGAGCAGGTGCCTGTCAGTGTGACTAGGAAATCCTGGTGTGCCAAAAGACCAGGAGCAATCTTTTGGCATGCTTTTGAGTCGACTCAAAAGACCAGGAGCAATCTTTTGGCATGCTTTTGAGTCGACTCAAAAGACCAGGAGCAATCTTTTGGCATGCTTTTGAGTCGACTCAAAAGACCAGGAGCAATCTTTTGGCATGCTTTTGAGTCGACTCAAAAGACCAGGAGCAATCTTTTGGCATGCTTTTGAGTCGACTCAAAAGACCAGGAGCAATCTTTTGGCATGCTTTTGAGTCGACTCAAAAGACCAGGAGCAATCTTTTGGCATGCTTTTGAGTCGACTCAAAAGACCAGGAGCAATCTTTTGGCATGCTTTTGAGTCGACTCAAAAGACCAGGAGCAATCTTTTGGCATGCTTTTGAGTCGACTCAAAAGACCAGGAGCAATCTTTTGAGAATTCTAAAAAAACACGCTCTGCAATCTTTTGGCATGCTTCCTGTGTGAGGGAAGGAGTGAGGAGCAGGTGACTAGGAATATCTTATTTCGACAAGCACTGGGGCTCACCTTGAGTAGGAACAGCACGATGGGGAGCAGTCGTCCCACAATGTGGGATAGACGGAACCCGAGCTGAGAGGGGAGGGAAGGGATGAGGAAAGGGAGGAGGGAAGGGAGGAGGAAAGGGAGGAGGGACGAGTTTTGAGTGGTGTCAAATTACAGCACGATAGGGAGCAGTCGCCCCACAATGTGGGATAGACGGAACCCGAGCTGAGAGAGGAGGGAAGGGAGGATAGTGACAACTGTTGCAGTGTATGTTTTTTGAGAATTCTCGAAGAAGTTGCACTTTGCGGATTTGTTCTTTGTGATTTACATGATCATGCTTGTGACCTACATGACTCATCAAGTAACCCAGACGGCTAACTCACTTGATTATTGAACACGTCCCATGCCAAGTCTAAAGTGTCCCCACAGCCATACCTGTCGAAGGAACGGCTCGAACACGTCCCATGCCTTGGCAACAGCGATCACACACGCTGTCCTGCAGGGTACGAGAAAGGAATGAGAAAGAGCAGGGAGGAGTAAAGAAAAGTCTCGAGGTGACAGCAGGGATGAACGAGGAATGATTTTAGAGAATTCTCAAATGTCGATTCACTTCAAAATCCTGTCACGAGGCAGACAAAGTCCTTCCCAGAGATGGCAGCCACGTCTTTCAGGCGCTTGCGACTAGTAAACACATGTCAACAGCTGTGACGAGTTGACGAAAGGCATTAAAAAAAACTCACTCTTGTCAGGTCGCTGGCGACTAAAAAACACATGTCAACAGCTGCGACGAGTTGAAGGAAGGCAACTCGGTATCTTGTGATGAGGCAGTACCAGGGGAGACAGTTTCACGAATCAGCTATGCCATGATAACCCAAAGAGGGTAAACCTTTAACGGACCCCAAGTGGACCCCATACGGACCCCAAACGGACCCTAAACGGACCCCAAACGGACCCCAAACGGACCCTAAACGGACCCCAAACGGACCCCAAACGGACCCTAAACGGACCCCAAATAGCTAAGATGGATCCCAATGTAAATATATGCAGGAACGTACCTGAAGTAGTTGGTGCCGTCATGCACATCCTCCACACCGCACGCATTCACAATCTCCTCCCTCGATATCGCAGGGCACCGCACTGCACCCACCACAAACCGGAACTCGGCCATCGCCCGGTGGTACTGCGCCCCTCCAAAGAGACGCATGCTGGCGTTCTGGTAGGGGTGGGGTGGGGGGGGGATGGGGGAAATACATGTGGTACTGAGGCGACAAGAGAGAGAGAAGCAAGGGACATTGCCCAGCCAGTGGTACTGTGGCAATGAAACAAAGCCTCGAACCCTGCCATTGCGCAGTGGTACTGTGCCCCTCCAAAGAGACGCATGCTTGCGCTCTGGTGGAAGGAGGAGAGGCGGGTGCAGAGAGGGAAAGGAAGGGGGGTTTACAACATGGAGCATTGTACCTGCCTTGAGCCATCCTCTTCTGAAGAGGAAATTCATTAGAGAATGAGGGAAAGGAACGTTCTTCTTGATAAAAGTTGAGTTTTGAGGCGTCTCAGAACTCAGCTTTGATCACGTCATTAGGGGACAAGGGAAAGGATCATTCTCCTCCTCACAGAATGTGCAAGTCTCTGTGACAGCAGCAACCAAGGCTCACCAGCATGTGCCTTTGGAAAGATTTTTTTTGCCAAAGCAATTCGTGACAACAACGAGAGGGAGGCTATGTGACAATAGGGAGGCTCACCGGCATGTGCCTCTGTGGAAACTGCTGGCCGTCTGACCCTACAAAGATCCCTCCACGCGCCCTCTCTTCCTGCAGAGTCTCGCCTGGTGGGCAGCAGAGGGCGATTGGGTTGGGAGTACCGTGCAAAGCACAGAGAGTGAAGGGGCAGAGGGGCAAACGAGCGGTGAGGGTGGGAGACATGTGCGGAAGCTGCTACTTTTAACTGCAGTGTGTCTCGCCTGGTGGGCAGCAGCGGACTAGAAGTGGGTAAGCGGAGTGACTTTGAGTCGACTCAAAAGTCAGCGGACTAGAAGTGGGCAAGCGGAGGAGGGGAGAGGAGGTTGGGAGGGTAGAAGAGGCATGGTTCATGAAGAAGGGTGACTAAGATTAGAATCTGAGAGGGGCGGAGGCCTCATTCGGCATGTCCTCTGACCACGTGATTCAACTCACCGAATTTGTCCGGCGGAGCAGCAATGGAGCCACGGAGCAGAACCGTGAGCTGAAAGGGCGAGAGGCGAAGGCAGTGGGGTGAGGTAGGGTGGGGTGGGGTTCACATGTGTTACAGGGGGTTACAAACTTGTCCGGCGGAGCAGCAATGGAGCCACGGAGCGGAACCGTGAGCTGAAAGGGCGAGAGGCGAAGCAGGGTGGAGCGGGGTGGGGTTTACAGGTGTTCGAGGTGTTACAGAGGTGCAGAATGCTGTAACAAAAGAGTTTTTCTTTTCATTTTTTCTTTTAGAAACGAGATTTAGCACCAATCAGCACATACGACCTGGTCAGAGGCCATGCACGCACCCCTCAGACGGACTTCTAAGGCCTCATACCCCCACACGTACCTTCCGAACGATTTTTGAGACGTCTCAAAAAACGACCTGGTCAGAGGCCATGCACGCACCCCTCAGACGGACCCCTAAGGCCTCATACCCCCCCACGTACCTTCCGGACAAAGTTGTCGCGGAAGTTTCGGCTCTTCTCTTTCAACTCGCCGTCGCTCAGGTTCCTGACGCCCAAACGGAGAGAGGAGGGAGAAACAGGGGATGATGCTTAGGGGTCTTTGTAGGCCCCAAAGAAATGAACTTTTGAGTCGACTCAAAAGTCACCTCGAAACAGGGGATGATGCTTAGGGGTCTTTGTAGGCCCCATGAGAAAACGGAGAAAGAAGATAAGAGCAGAAAGCGCCTCACAACACGTGGAGTGGACAGCAAAGGAGAGGTTCAGGACGTTGAAGAGGTATTGTTGCTTACTGTAGCTCCGCAGAGGTGGCAGAGAGCTTGGTGGAGACAGACTTGTATTCCTTATCAAGCAGCGGCACTATATACGGTACACTCTCGAGGTACCTGGATGGGGAGGTGGGGGCAAGGGCAGAAGCAGGGGAGGATTGACGTCACCCTGACTCATTATGGGCTTACCATAATTTCATACTGCATCTACAGGCTGAAGTGCAGTGCAGAGGACGAGCAGGGCGTTGGGGGAGCAGGAGGGCGGGATACGGAGAATGGTGAAAAGAAAGGGGGGAGAGGGGGGAAAGCAGGGAAGGGATGGAGTGGGAACAAGAAATCGACTGCGTACTATCGCTACAGACAGCTACTGCTTCTAGATGAGAGTGAGGGGAAAGCAAGCATAGAGTGGGAGTGGGGGAAATTATGGTAAGGCGGAAGTTGTTGCTTACCGTTGCTGCAGCATCTGCTCCAAGAAGAGAGGAAGTGGGGACGAGGAGGAAGAGGTTACATGAGGAAGGGGTTACATGAGGAAGGGGTGGAGAGAAGAGAAGTGAATGGGAGAAGTAAAGGAAGGATTGATTACCGTTGCTGCAGCATCTGCTCCAAAAACAGCCGAAGCCGGCTAACCCCCACCCGTGCTCGTTCGTCGTCCGAAAGAGGCCGGCCCATTTTGTCCTCTAGCGCTGCAAGGTCGCTCATCTCTCTCCGAGCAACAGCCTGCAGGACAACGCAAGTCAACCAAGTCAACCAAGTCAACCAGCCACTTTCATGTCAGAGTCAACGACGTGGAAACATTGGAGAGAGCCAGCTGTGACGTGGATACATTGGAGAGAGCCAGCTGTGACGTGGAAACATTGGAGAGAGCCAGCTGTGACGTGGAAACATTGGAAACATTGGAGACATCCGAGAGTGCCGGGTTGAGAAACTGCTTCTAACCCACATCCCCTCATCCCTCCCCTTCTCGCCCCCTTCCCTCAACTCACATCTCTGTACGCGCATCCGCCCCAGATCGCATCCATTTACCTTCTCTCCCTTCCTCCTCCCCCCAACCACCCACCTAGCCCCACTCACATCTCTGAAATCATCATCTGTCTTGAAAACCACATTCGCCCCGGACCCCACTGGCCTTCCCCTGCTCCCTCTGCCTTCCTTCCCCTCCTCCCCCTTCCCTTCCGCCCCCTCCCCTCTCCCCCGACTCACATCTCTGAAATCATCATTACTCATAAACACCGCATCTGACCCACAAAACCACTCCTCCCCATGGCCCCCAATTTCACCACAACCTTTCCCCTACCCCTCTCCTCTAGTCCCCCTTCCCCCAACTCACATCTCTGAAATCGTCATCTGTCATGAAAATAGCATCGGACCCGGACCCCACGCGCCCCGACCGACGGCACCGACGTGAAGAATGCATCCGTCCAGGACCTCACTTGCATACTGCTTTTGAGTCGACTCAAAGGCCCATTCATTTACTCACATCTCTGAAGTCATCATCTGTCATGAACACCGCATCAGACCCGGACCCCACTCGCCCGGACGGCACAGACGTGAAGAACGGCCGCGTGGCCAGCCGCGACGCGGAAATATCCGGCAGCGGTGGGTTGAGAAACATTTCCACGTCGGCTGCCCGGGAAAACTGCGGGATGCGCGTGTCGAGCTTCGTGGACACGAGGATGGTTCGGGAGAGGTCCGGGTCGACCTTCATCACAATCCTCCGCGTGGTGGCGTTGCTCCAGTCGCTGCTGTCTTCGAGACACAGTATCACAAACTCCTGCTGCTTCATCTTCGCTAGGACTAACGCCTCGACAATCCGCGCTTGCTCCTGCAGGGGTGAAGGATGGGGGGGATAGGAGCGGAAACCCCGACAGGGAAAGGAAAGGAAAGCAGGTTGGGAAAAAGTGAGGTGGTTCGGGAGAGGTCCGGGTCGACCTTCATCACAATCCTCCGCGTGGTGGCGTTGCTCCAGTCGCTGCTGTCTTCGAGACACAGTATCACAAACTCCTGCTGCTTCATCTTCGCTAGGACTAACGCCTCGACAATGCGGGCTTGTTCCTGCAGGGGTGAAGGATGGAGGGGTTGGGAGCAGAATCTTCGACAGAGGAAAGGAAAGGAAAGCAGGTTGGGAAAACGAGAGGTGGTTCGGGAGATGTTCGTGAGAGGTCTGGGTCGACCGTCATGACGATCCGCCGTGTGGTGACGCTGCTCCAGTCGCACGTACGAGCCCACCAGCTACCATCAAACATTGAGCCTAGGCACGCACTTTCACGCACCTGCAAGGCCGCGTGCGTGACGGATGAAGCGCCAATGATGGTGAGGTGATGGTGAGGTGATGGTGAGGTGATGGTGAGGTGATGGTGAGGTGATGGTGAGGTGATGGTGAGGTGACGGTGAGGTGATGGTGAGGTGATGGTGAGGTGATGGTGAGGTGGTGAGGTGATGGTGAGGTGATGGTGAGGTGATGGTGAGGTGATGGTGAGGTGATGGTGAGGTGATGGTGAGGTGATGGTGAGGTGATGGTGAGGTGATGGTGAGGTGATGGTGAGGTGACGTTGAGGTGATGGTGAGGTGATGGTGAGGTGATGGTGAGGTGATGGTGAGGTGATGGTGAGGTGATGGTGAGGTGATGGTGAGGTGATGGTGAGGTGACGGTGAGGTGATGGTGAGGTGATGGTGAGGTTGGGGCAGTACTTGTACTCCACGCACACCACCACCTCCCTCCCTGCCTCCATAGCAGCCCACCAACTGATACCTCCATAGCAGCCCACCAACTGACATTCGCATTATATGCGAGCATACATACATATATTGACGCACCTGTAAGGCCGTGTGTGTGACCGAGGGCGCGGCGGAGATGAGTCCAGGCGTATCGATGATGGTGAGGCTGGGGCAGTACTTGTACTCCACGCGCACCACCACCTCTCTACCTACCCCCTAGTTGCCCACACCCACCCACCATCGCACCCACCTGCAGCGCCGTGTGTGCGACGGATGGAGCGGCGGAGATGAGTCCAGGCGTATCAATGATGGTGAGGTTGGGCAGTACTTGTACTCCACGCGCACCACCACCTCTCGGTCCCAACCAAGCCACGCAATCCCATGCTCTTCCCCGCCCTGAGAACCTACCAACTACCGAACCGATGCCCGCGTTTTGACGCACCTGCAGCGCCGTGTGTGTGACTGAGGGAGCGGCGGAAATGAGCCCGGGAGTGTCAATGATGGTGAGGTTGGGGCAGTACTTGTACTCCACGCGCACCACCACCTCTCGGTCCGAGAATCGCCCCATGTCCTTCTCCAGCCGCTGGTTCTCGGACTCGATATAGGCCTGCACCGTTACAGTCACGATAGCGCATGAAACACATTTCAGTTTAGGGTCAATATTGAGCCAACGTGCTTTTGTTGTCGGGATATTAATCGAATGCAGATAAACTCCAATCAACATATGAACGGTTCGAGAAAAAGCACGAAAATAAATCCTAACAGTACCTGTAGCTGCTGCAGAGTCTTCTCCTGTTCGCTCGTATGATCCTTATCCAGAACTAAGTAGCACCGCGGCTCCACGCACGCTGGATTGTACTTCATCTGCAGCGTGATCGGACGGCGCGTCTTCGTCCCCCCGCCCACGTGGTTAAACTGGAACCCCATCAGCGCTTCGACCAGCGCGCTCTTTCCGTCCGTCTGATGCCCCACGATCAGCACAGCTGGCGCATCGAACGGCTTCTGAAAGTGCTGCGCTAAGCGGTGCAACTCGTTATAAGCCTCGTACAGCTTCTCGTTCTCGCTAGAGTTGCGAGGACTGCCGTTGCCCTGAGAGCGGTTCGAAAGAGCAGTAGCGGAGAAATAAGTACCAGACGGACTTCTGCCAATCCCATTGCCACCACCGCCGCCGCCGCCGCCGCTGCCACCACCGCCTCCTAAACCGACGCTGCCGTTGGAGATTGACTGGTTGGCTTTTCCGCCAGGAGCCGCGCCGCCATTGCCATAGCCCTGGTTGCTGGATGCCACGTATGATCCACCCGTGCTGGACTGAGGTGCCACGTCGGCACGGGTTGGCTGAGTAAAGCGGTCTGCAGGTGCCACGTCACCGCGAGCAGAGTCTGTCCCTCTAGCGAAGGTGATATTTTCCCTGATGCTCGAACTATAGGAGGAGTTGTCTGCAGGCGAAAAGTCCCCCCCGAGCCTGCTTCCGTAGGTTCGGGTTCTCGGTTCGGAAGATGGGGCGGGTGGCAATACCGAACGTGATTCCAGCTGCTGGGTCAATGAGCTCGAACTTTTCAAATCCTTCCCAGAGTTTGCTCCGCCAGCGGATGCAGGTTCGGGATTGGACGAGGTTCGGTTGAAAGTAGACGATAAGTTACTACGCAGCGAGCTTGCCGTGGCTACCGTTGGCCGCTCTGTTGGCCCATTCTGACTGGGAGATTGCTTTTCTTGCGCAGCTGCTAACCATTTCTCTATGCTATCTCCGGGACGCGCCATTTTTCAGGTTAGCGACTCTGGGAGAAGGCAGGAATGAAACTGCAGAACGAAGACAGCGAAGTGTAACTGCTGACGAAAAATGTTTTGGTAAAAATGAATGATCTGGAACTGAAGCTGAAGTTAGAGCTGGAGGAGAAGCTGGTCTATGGTAAGAAATACCACTCGACGTCCCTGAAGAAATGGAAAACCGTCAGATGAGCTGGGAATCTCGAGGTTCTTTGAGGTTTGAATCTGGAGGAATCGAAAACCAAGCCATGGCGGTACGATTTCCGAACCAGCCTTCCGGACCTGAAACATCATCTGGCGTTGCCAGTAGGGGTTTGAAGCTTTGGTCTGGTACGAAGCGAGCTTCGGTTCACACTTGTGGGACGCAGTTTGCAGGCTCTGGCAGTTCTTGAAGCTCGGCGATTTGGCGGGCTTGTCTGGCGAATTCAAATCAAACATCGTCAGCAGGAATGGCGAAATGGCAAGCAGGGCGGGAAATCGTATGCAGCTCCGAGCTTGTGGCGTGAGTACACATTCTCTTAACTTCTTTGAGGAGTTATTATTTGAGAGGTTATACACTACAACATTATTTACAATATAACTGTACAGTACATCCTGAATCTGACGCGCTGTAGTTCATGGCTGTGTTGCTGCAAATTGGCTTTGGTCAGAGGAGATCCGTGAGTTTCGGCTTGAAGGCCCATCAATCGCAATCATGACGAACGTGGGAGACACAATGAGGCATCGACGGCTCTCGTAGGCCATTCATTTTAATCCAATGGTGAAGCAACTCGTAACACCAGAAGACCCTATCCCAAACACTGTACTTGTACTACTGTATATGAAACTCGAAGTTCATGAGGCTCCAGCATGCGTCGCTCGTGTTCGTCCGATAGGCTCTGACCTCAATATACCACATCGAGGGTGCAGAACGATTCCCGCTACGCTTCAGGACGACCTTCCAGAAACCTAGCCTGCCCAAACGCTTCAGCCTGCCCAGAAATACCCATACCCATCTTACTGCACAGCACACCCCCTGGCCTGGGCTCCCCTCGGGCTCCGCGAGATTTCTTATCGTGGCGTGCGGCCAGGGCAAGCGCACACTACAAACACGCCACACCAGCAACACCGCACCACACATCAGCCCCACCTTCCCCAAGCGTCCTTTCAACCGAACACCCCACCCCACCACCACATTCCCACACCCCCCACCCGCTGTCCCACCACCCCACTCCCTCTTCCCTTCTTCCCCCCCCCCCCATTTCTCCGCACTCCGCCTTTCCTCCAGGACTGTCTCTCCGCAACCCCTCCTCTCTCCGCAACCCCTCCTCTCTCCTCGTCTCCTCTCCTCTCCTCTCCTTTCCTCTTCTCCCTCTAGGTTCAGTGTCTTTGGCCGCCATATCCTCTTTGCCCTAGAATCTAGTCACTGTTGAATCCACGGCTGTAGTTGACGTTGTTTGAAACTGCTTGTATCTGAGCTAAGGGCTAGTCTAGTTCTTAGTGTTGTTCCTAGTGTTCATCAAACCTGGATACATCCGTCTTTTTCTTGTTTTAGGATCCAACCGCATTCAAATGGCGATGCTTCGTTACAGGTAAGGCTTGAATTCCGCCGATCCAGCTCCCTTTCCGTTACCTTTTCCGTCACTTTTCAATGCCTCAGCCGTCTCGCTCTGTAGTTTCCTCATGCTATATATCGTTGTGCCTTTCTTACCTCATACAATGTTCCTTTTCTTAATGCGTGAACACCACGGCAGGTCCTCCGTGCATTCCGGCGCTTCATCCGTTGGACCTGTTTCTCGATTTAGTCAGTTTTTTCTGTTTGTGATATTCGTCTTTCTGACCGGTGCGCTCCGGGCCGATAATGACCGTCAGATATCGCTTTCCGAAGCAGCGACGTACGCACGAGATTCGTCCAAAACAGCTCGGCCGAGCATCAACAGCCTCGCCTTCTCCGGCTCTGCCTCCGCGACATTCGCCGCGAAGGCTGGCGGAGATTTGCGAAAAGAGTCGCGAACGGACGGCTTACACATACGACAATCGTCACCGCCACCGCCATTGCAACCATTAGGAGGCGCCCATTCCCCGGATTCCGCCTTAGACCCGCAAACACCACATAGCACAGACACGAGTCCGAGAGACTTACCTAATGCAGATGCCGGTACAAGAGACAAGAAGCCCCCGCGAGCGAAAGGGAAAATAAAAAACCGACAGAAAGCCGCAGGACCTGCAGCGCCCACTCCTGTTGAGAATTCCGGAGGGGCATCGGCGAGACAAAGTGACTTTAGCTACCCTAGGCTAGGTGACATCAGCCTGCCGCCGAATGCGCCGGAAGGTGCGCTGGCGATGTTCGAAGCGGATTTAAACACGCCGTCGCTATGGGAACTTCCGGGAGGGGTTAGGACGTTCCCTACGCTGCTGTCGTGGGGTGCTCGATACGCTTGTACGACTACACCGCATACGCTATGGATCATCAATCTGTCTCGTCATAGAGAGCTGGTTATCGAATTCGCTACAAGCAGCTCCTTCGATTTCTATATGGCGAGCTACATGGCAAGTTTCGACGAGTTCGTTATCAAGCCTCGGTCGGCTAGTTTCATCAGTCTTTTTTTCCTGCCCCGGGCACTTGGAACTATTGACGGGAATCTGACGGTAGAGACTAGCGCAGGGCCGATCGTCATCCCGCTGTTCGGTTATGGTCTTCCGTCCCCGTTTAGTTTGGAACCGAGAACGAGTTTAAGAACGTTGCCTGGACAGCGGATTATACACCCCGTTTGGATGCAGAACACAATGCCGTGGCCCGTTACAATCACCGACGTACAATCCAAAGTGGATGTGTTTATATCGGGGGAAGACGGCCCAATGGAGCTTCCGCCGGGTTCTAGAAGCGAGGTGAAGATTACGGTGGGAGGAGTGGAGCTGGGAATGGAAGACGACACGTGGTCGTACCTGCGTGACGCTATAGGGAGTGATATTATAGTGAAGCCAGGGGGAACAGAGGAGGTCTTAGTGATAGAGGCGGTTCACGGAGATGTGGGGAGGCTGTCGCTAAGTATTTTTCTTAAAGTCGAGGCGCACGCGGATTGCGACTGCGAGTACCTGCTTCTGCCGATCGACCTGACGACGTCGCCAGGTGGCGTCGTCTCAATGGCGGATGAGATCGACTTCGGCACGCTGACGTCAGCGCGGGACACGGTGATCCGCCACGTGGAATTGGGGAACGTGGGCAGCACCATGGCGGCCGTAGACGACGTCCGTCTCGCGGTCAGAGACGAACATTTGCAAGCTGCCCGTTTCCGCAAAGGACAGCAGCTGCCCCCCGGGAAGGTTGTGCAAGTTGCAGAGCTGAAATACGCAGGCTATAGCTTGTCGGCCGGTTTAAACGGGAAAGCAGGAGGGGGAGGGGGAGGGGGAGGGGGGGGAGAGGTAGGACCGGAAATTGAGGGTTTTACACGTAGGGGACGTGTAGTGGTGCAGACGGCGCAGTCAAGTCCGTCGCTTGTAGAGGTGCCGTTTAAAGCGCGGATAGTCATTGGTAGCGTGACAGTGGAGCCTGTCGAAAACACCGTCTTTTTTTTCGCAGCAGCACCGGGGAAAGAGAAGCAGCAGGAGGGAGAATTGTCTGGGCAGCCCTGGGGAGAAAACATTGGGTTTGTTCGATCTGCGGTGACCAAGGAGCTGGTCCTGCGAAATAAGTTTTCCTGCCCGGTGCTCGTATACGATGCGTTCTTCTCGCACGACTGCATTCAGGCCAAGGATTTCCCGTCCTCTCTGCTCCCCCCTGGCGGCTCCAGCAAACCGTTTCTTTTGCAGCTGAATCCGGAGAAATTGCCGCTGTCGCTCACTATAGTGAACTTCACTATAGCGACGAATGTGAGTGATATGGTTGTGCCTTTGCACGTGCTGCCTGGGCTATTGGATTTGGACGTTCCGTTGACAGCAGGAGCAGCAGCATCAGCAGCAGCAGGAGGAGGAGCAGCAGTTGCAGCAGCAGCCGCAGATAGCAGCATGAGTGCTTCCCGCTCTCCCCCCTCCCCCCGCTCTAGTACCCAGGATGGGGCGATAATGGGGGGTGTTGGCACAAGGTTATTGGGTGAGGAGGAAGAGGAAGAGGAAGAGGAAGAGGAAGAGGAAGAGGAAGAGGAGGCGGGGTTTCGCGTTGGGGGAGACGCAGGCACGCATTCTGATGGTCGGTACGAGGGTGAGGAGGAACAACAGCAGCAGCAGGGGGAGCAGCTGCAGGGAAACAGTCGCGGGGTTTTGGACTTCGGCTTGATTCTCCCCGGTTCAAGACGAAACATATCGTTTCGCCTGGCCAATCCGGGCCCGTTTCCGGTCGCCATCATGTCCGCGTCGTGCTCCTCCCTCCACGTCACTGTCCACGTCAGCGACGTTATCCACATGGAGGAGAGGGAGGCAGAGCGCGCCCCTGTGCCTGTGGCCATGTCATCTGCTCTCCCATCCTCTCAGCATCAAGTGTTCCACCTCCCGATTAGGTTACACCTGCAGACGCTTGCTAGGTCATCTGAGGAAGGGGGGACAGGGGCTGGTGGCTTAGGGGCAGCAGCAGGAGCAGGAGGGGCAGGAGGGGGAGGAGGTGCGAAGAAAGGAACGAGGAGCAGCGGCAGCAACAGCAGCGAGAGTCGTAGTGGTAACACTGGCAGTGGCACCGTCAGCAGTGGGAGTACGGTTACAGCTGCTACTGCAAAGCCGTCGTTGGTCCTCAAAAGCCCACGTGCAGGCCAAGAGGTGGTTTTAGAGTGCGAGAATTGCGGATTGTTCAGCATTCCAGAGTTCCATACGGCAGAAGTGACTGTAGAGTTCGCTCCTGTAACGGAAGGAGCAGGTTTGGAGCTGCTGGTGCTTGAAACGAAGCACCAACTACTGAAGCTTGATCTCAAATTCGCGTCTTTCCGAGGCGAGATTGCGGTTTCCCCGAAGCTTCCGCTCGTGTTCCCGTCTCTCTTTCCAGGAAAGGCCCATCGGATAAAGCTCTCGGCAAACAGCACCTTCCCGCATCCCCTTGCCGTGACCGGAATTAGGGTTTCCGATTCTAGGGTTTCCGCTGATCTTAAGGCTTCTGTGCTGGGGCCATCTAATGGAACGGAGTTGGGCGATCTTGTGTTTTCCATGCCGTTGCGGGAAACCTTCGTGACTGCAAGCGGATGTGCTTCTAACGGGAGCGAGAGCTGGGGGCGAATGCTAGAGAGACTGCAGGACGGCGGGAGGGGAAGTGCAGGCGGTGATAATAGCGAGGGGAGGGACCCGTGGGGTGAAGATGTGACTATAGAGGAACGGGAAACGGCACAGGGGAGGCTGGACGAGTGGACGCGCGTGGTCCGTGCAGGCGAGAATGTGATTGTATCGACTTTAGTTCTTGAAACGGAAGTGATGGAATCGGAGGCTGTGGAGGTGAAAGGGGTACTGGCGAAGCCTCGAGTGGTGTCAGAAGCTTCGTCAGGTTTGCAGTACGGTCGGGTGCAGGTGGGAACAGCAGCAGGGGAGATGGTTTTGGTGCAGAATCCGAGTGATTACCCTGTGCGCGTGCGCCTGGTGATGGGTGAAGGGTCGGGATTTAGGGTTTGTGGGAATGGGAACGGTGGGAACGGCAACGGTAGGGGCGGAAGTGCAGGTAAGGGTGTTGGCAGTGGGGGTAATGACGCTAGTGGGGGCAGCGGCGGTAGTGGCAGCAGCAGCAAGAGCGGTGCTGGGAGCAGCAGCAGTGGCAGCAAGGGTGGGAATGGCAGAAGCAGCAACAGCAACACTGGTGCCACAACCAGCAGCAGCCGCAGTAGCAGCAGCGGCGGCGGCGGCGGCGGCGGCGCTAGCAGCAGTAAAACTGGCTGCTCGGGAGGAGAGCCAAAGGGTCCGCCCTTCTGCCCTGTACCCAACCCTAACTCCGCTCCGCCCTCCCCTCTCCTCCCAACCCGCTGGTTAGCCGCAGCTGGTATCCTCCCCTGGACCCTCAACTTAGCCTCTCACTTGAGCGTTCCCTGGCTGGGTTTTGGAGCACCTTGGCTTGGGTTGGGTGTAACGAAGGAGAGAGAGGAGGGTGGGGCGGGTTTTACCTTGGCGCCGGATGCAGTGACGGATTTGATTCTGCCGCCCGGGTGGGAGGGGCGGCTGGGGCCGGTGGTTTTCCGGCCGGATGCTGCTGGGTGTGTGTATAACGGATCAGTCTATGTGCGGAATAATCTGACGTTGTTGGAAGAGGTGAGGATGGTGGGGGAAGGGGGGTCGGGGGTGCTGCATGTGATTGGGAGCAGAGGGCCGGAAATGCTGCTGATGGTGAATGTGACTGAAGAGCATGTGCTTGTAAAGGAGCGGCGGGGGAGGAGGCTGGTGGGAGCGGCAGGGGGGGCCTATCCGAGGTTTTATGTGACTGAAGTGGAGAGCAGCGTAGGGAGGGTGAAATGGCCGGTAGTGGCCGAGCGGAAGTTCAAGCTGGTTAACCGGGGCGATTTACCCTTGAAAATCTTGAGTATGAGCCTGCGCGCGAGCAAGAGCAAGGTCGTGTGTTCCCTCCGTGGATTCTCCATCCATCCATGCGAGCCCTTCACTCTCGCCCCTGGCCAATCCACGCCTCTGCTCCTCTCTTTTACACCGGATCTCACCTCGACTATAGTTCGTGCCGTCCTCCATATAGAGTCATCCGCTGGTGCGCACGAGCTGCCAATCCGAGGGTACATTCCGAGGAACCTTGCAGTGATTGCTATAGACGCGGAGCCGAGGCATCCTATGGATTCAGTCATGAAAGCTGTGGTGGCTTCGATGCTAGTAGCCATGTTTGGGCTGCTGGTGCGGGCGGCTGTGTCTCAGCTTACGCTGTTCCCCTCCCCGTGGTTCCCCGGGTTCTCTGCTGCTGCGGCGGCAGCGCTGACTAGGAGACTGCAGAAGAAGCAGAATGCGCTGCTGCTGGCGAATCAGCTTCATGGCTCCGCTGCTGGCGGGGGAGGGGGAGGGGCGTCGGGCGGAGGGGGAGGCGCAGGGGGAGCGGGAGGTGTGGGGTTGGTTGGGGGAGTGGGGGTTGGCGGGGTGGGAGGCGGGAGTTTTCCAGCAGATGCGGAGACGCGAGCGCGAGTGGTCAGGGTTCGAGTCTCGGTGGCGCCGATTTCTGCAGGGAGAGGGCAGGGAGGAGAAGCGGGTGGAGGGGTGAGTGGCGTTGTGGGGATGCCTGTTGGGAAGGGGCATGACGGCCCTATGGGGGATTCTGGGGCGTCCTGGGTGGTAACCCGAGTGGAGAAGGTTACAGATGGGGCGGATGGGGAGGATGATGGCGTTACTGATGCTGAGATTGGGCTTGGACTAGAAACGGTGCTGGCAGTGCGGAAGCAGCATATGGAGCAACAGCAGCAGCAGGAGCAGCAGCAGCAGCAAAAGCAGCATGTGGGTTTACCAAGTCAGCAGGCGTCAAGGCTGGTGCTGAATGCTCCCCAGGCAGTGGAGCAAGGGAAGAAACATACGGGCCAGAAGCCCGAGTCTGCAGCAGGTCAGATGGCATCCCAGCAACAGCCGGAGCAGCAGCAGCAGCAGGTGGGTGTTGATCGTGGGGCAGGGAAGAGTGCGATGCTGGTTGCAGGAGAGGCAACTGTGACAGCGGTGGCAGGTGCAGCTGGTAAAGCAGCACGGAAGAGCGCAGACTTAGGAACAGCAGGGGCGACTTTTGAGGCGCCTCAAAAGTCGGTGGCAGTGGCAGCTGGTCAGGCAGCACGGAAGAGCGCAGACTTAGGAACAGCAGGGGCGTTTGCGCCTGCAGCAGGTTCAACTGGGGGAGGCGTAGCTGTTGCAGGTGGAGTGGGAGGGGAGTCATTTGGGACCGGGTTACCCGATGCGGCTCGAGTGTTTGTGAAATCCGCTTCTGTTCCTTCAGGTAGGGGTAAGAGCAGCCAAAAAGAGGCTGATGCTGTTGCTGCTAGTGGTGGCGCTGCTGGAACTGACAATCTGGCTGCTGCTGCTCCTGCTGTGATGGAAGGGGGTACTGGGGGCGATAAGGCTGGGAAGGAGGGAAGTGGGGCGACTTGGAACCCCAGTGCGTGTAGCAAGGGGGGTGGTGGTAAAGGGGGGAAGGAGGGGGTTGGTAAAGGGGAGGAGAAGAAGCAGCGTGGGAAGAAGGGGAAGGAGGAGAAGATGAGAGAAAGGGAGTTGGAGAAGGAGAAGGAGAAGGAGAAGGGGAAGGAGAAGGAGAAGGAGAAGGAGCGGGAGAAGGAAAGGGAGAAGAAACAGGCGGAGATGGAGGCTCATTGTGAGAAGGAATCAGGTAAGTCAAAGGAGAACGAGCAGGGACGCAAGGAGGAGGAGAGTGAGAAGGAGAAGGGAAAGAAGACTCAGAAGGAGGAAGGAAAGAAGGGGAAACTCAAGGAGAAGGAGAAGGCTGCAGAGACTGAAGAGGTGAAGGAGAAGGGATCGAAAGGCAGTACAGAGGCGGCCAGAGAGAATAAGGGAGAGCATGGGAAGGAGGAGAAGAATCAGGAGGGTGGGAAGGAGGAGAAGAAGGTGGGAGTGGTTGAGAAGCAAGGGGTGGGGGAGAAGCTAGGGGCGGTTGACAGGAAGGTTGCAGAGGAGAAGCAAGGTGCTGTGGAGACGGGGAAGAAGAAGAAGAAGGGCCAGGCAGCAGCACGGGAGCCGTCACCTGCTCCTAGTGCCCCTGCTGCTGCTGGTTCTCCTCCTGCGAGCACTGCTGCTGCTGCTGCTGCTGCTGCTGCTGCTTCTGTGGTCGCAGCAGAAAAACCTGCTGGGGCTGACAAGAAGAAGGGTGCAGAGCTCGGTAAGTTTTCCGGTAGTGAGGATTCGACCAGGACTGGAGGGAAGCAGGCAGGAGAAGGGAAGGGAAGGAAGGAAGGGAAGGAGAGAGGCAAGGATCAGCCGAAGCTGGTCCCTGTGTCGGCCGTTGCTGTGTCTGGATCTCTGGTGGTTCGCTCTCCTGTAGAGAGTCCCACAAAGGAGGGTGGTGGTGGGAAGAAGCAGGGGCCTGGAGAGAAGGAGAGGGAAGGAGGCGGAGGGAAGTTGAAAGAAGTGTCAGGAATTCTCACCACTTCCCACCACCAGGGAATCAGGGAATCTGCTGTGGTCTCTCCTCCTTGTGCTCCCAGACAGCCCTCTCCGGCCCCATCAGCTGGTCAAAGCACTGGTAGCAGTAGCAAAAGAGATGCCGCAGGTGCTGGGATCAGTGCTGCTTCGGCAAACGATCTTGCTCTAGCTGGTGTGAAGCCTGTGGCTATTGGGAAGACTGCTGCTCGGGCACTGCTTCAGCAGCAGCAGAAGGAGAAGGAGCAGCAGGCAACGCAGCAGAAGCTTCAGCAGCAGCAGCAGCAGCAGCAGCAGCAGCAGCAGCAGAAGCTTGTGGGCCGTGGGTCTGTAGCAGCAGCTGGTGCAGCTGGCATGAGGGTTACCCCAGAGAAAGCAGGTTTGGCTGTTGGACGGGGCAAGTCGGCTGCTTCTGGTGGTTCAGCTGGCTCGGCTGGATTACCTTCTGGCAGGCAAGTTGCTCGTTCCTTCTCCCGCTCCCCACCACCACCGGACCCCTTTTCTCCTCCTGCAGAAGCAGCAGCAGCGGCAGCAGTGCCACCAGCAGCACGGTCAACAGCAGTTGGCGAAGGCGTTGTGCACAGCTGGCACGTTCAGATATCTGCTTCCTTCTCTTCACCTCTGCCTGCAGGACTAGGGGGGATAGGAGGTGGGGGAGGAGGGGGAGGAGGCGGAGGAGGAGGAGCGAGCAGGATGGCATCTATTCCCAAGACCCCTTCCTTTGTCAACACCTGTTCCGACCCTATCCTGGTGCATCGGCGCCTTCCCCCCTCCTCCACCCCTGTCGCCATCGGCAGCGGCAGCAGCACCAGTAGTGGTGGCGGCGGTGGCAGCGGTGCTGGTTCTGCCGCTGCAGACTCCTGGAAGGTTCCAGGGTTGCTGAGCCCGGGCAGCCGAGTGGGGAGTTTTCTTGGTGGGGGGAGTAGCAGTGGGGGGAGCGGTGGCAGCAGGGGGGAGCTAGCAGCTGCTGCGGATCTGGCAGTGGGCTCGTTTGCCAGGAGTGGTAGCAGGGAGGATGGGTTGCCCGGAGCTGTGGCGTTTGGTGGCAGTCCTGCTGCTGCTGCTGCTTGTGCTGGTGGTGGTGGAGGCACGGGGGTTGCTGCAGCTTCAAGGGGTGGGGTGCGGTTGGAAGGTTCTTCAGGTGGTGGGCTGGCAGGAGCAGGTGATGACGAAGCAGCTGTGTACGATCTGTGGGGTAACCATTTCGACCACCTTGCATCGTTTGGGACATCCCCACACCCAACAGGCATCTCCCACCCATCAAGCCTCTTCTTTTCAGACCGAGGCTTTCTGACCGCATCTCCTCCTCCACCCACCACCTCCTCTGTACCCCACTCCTCGGGAATCCTCGGGCCTTCACTCCTCCACGGCTCGCCCTCCTCTCCTCGCTCCCCGCGCGTGATTGCACCACCTGCCAGAACCAGGGATGCTCTGTCCCCTCCTCGTGACCAGTATCTTTTCTCCTCTACCATCTCTGGAACTCCTGAGGCTGACGGCCTTCCCCGTCGCCCCTCCACTGAGCTCTTCTCTTCTCCTTTTGGGGGGTTTTCTCTCTTTCCTACTACTTCACTGTCTGCTTCTTCGCCGGGGGATGCTGTTCTAGGCCCCCCTTCCAGGTCTGCTTCTCCAGCTCCCTATGGATACCCGGATAGAGGGGGTGGGTTGGGAGCAGGAGGTGTGGGGTCGGGAGGCGAAGGTGCGGTTACCACTGGTGGATTGTTTGGAGCTTCAGGGGATGCAAGCCTGCAGGGTCCTGTGAGCTCCCCGTTTGGGTTCGGGGTTTCAGGAATCGACATGGAGGCGTACTTGAATTGTGGGGTTGCAGCGGATGCTGTCAGCCCTGCGTTTATGAGGACTTCAGATGTGGAGTCGTTTTGGTCGCATGGGGCTCCAGAGCAAGCGCTCCATGGACACATTTCATCAAGCGGAGAGAGTGATGACACAAGCGCACAGCCATGAAGACGTGATTATACCAGTACTACACTTGGAAGATGTGAATTGCTGGCACGACCATTGTCAGTAGCAAGTTCCCTGAAAGCATCATGTTACGTTTTGTTAAGTGAGGCATTAGGTCGTTGAATTACTGTACTAGCAGGTTTTTCAAATGCTCGAGTGCATCCTGTACAATTCCTTTCTTCAACCATAATGTTACCGATAGTATCTACCTACTTTCCAACCGCATAGAACAAGGGATAGGTGGAGATGTTTGAGGAGCACTCAAGATTGGCCCACACTTCATATAAAAACTTTGTGACTGCTCAAAGTGGAAACCAGCTCAAACTGTTGCACCGGATAGCCATCCAGAAGCTGAGTACGCGTTGGTGTGCTGTCTGCTGGTTGGAGCATAGAGTATACCATATCAGCGTATATCAAGGTGCAACAACAGCCTTGCAGGGCGACCCATGGATCTGGCAACATTTGCCTTCTCTTCCTGCTCCACTTCATATCCAGATTTGAGATACAACAGTCGTGCAGGGTCGTTGTTCTTGACTACATGAACATACATATGCTCCACACCTGCAGGCCAGGTAAGGCGAGTGTAAGTCTGCCGAAACAGATTACAGAGGGAAGCAGAGACACAGTTGAGCAAACAGCAATGACTCACCCCAACTCCGTGCAAGATCTTTTGCTGATTGCATCAATCTGTAAGCAACTCCAAGTCTTCTGGCAGCTGGCGCCACGCAAACATTAGATAGATAGGCTCGTCTTGACTCTATGTGCAAGCCCTGAGCACATAGAAATGCCATATGGTTACAAACAGATCACGAGTAAGACGGACCTAATATTCGCCTTCTGCCATGACCACAGGAGTTCTGATTAGTGAGTACCTTATCAGGGTACTTTCCGCCAAGATTTTCACCAGGCAAGCGAAGCCCTAAATTCAGGTCCAAAGTTCCAACAACCCATCCTTGAGCGACTTGCAGAGATGCACGCTGTATACGAAGAAAACAAGAACAGTCAGTCGTTCAACGTGAATAAATGCAGGAATTATTACTGAAAACCAACGACCTTACAGGCTCTTGACCAGGTTGCAAGATTGCGGCGCTGGCTTCAGGTACGGTCGCTACCAAACATGAGACCCGGTTGAAGCCTGGAAGGAGTCCAGCAACTTTATCTTCCAAGCATTGCGCCTCCTCCATGGCTTTCATGAACAAATGTCGCTGCAAAAGGAACCATAAAATAGGTTACGTCCAGTTATGCGGAGAGAAAGGGAGGGATAAAAGTGGGGAAGTAGCGGAAGGCACCTGCAATTTTCCGTACCTCCACGAATTCTGATGAACGGTCAGGGGGACAAGTGAAGAAGCAAAACGAACGCAAAGACGCAGCAGCTCTGAGTTCGGTTGATGACACAGCCTCCTCCACTCGTACAGTACATGGTGACGAGGCAAGCTCGGCTCTGCTCCATGAAGTGGAGCGCGAAGAACGCAAACCCTTCGACAATTTAATTTCCTTGGGGGATGAGACTCTCAACTTGGTTATTGAACTTTCCAGGCATGTCGAGGGAAATACATTTGGAAGTCTATACTGGCAAACGGCACCACACGCCATGGTAATCCTAATGTCGCTCGGGAATTAGTCTCTGAAATAACAGCCAACATCAACATCAGAAGACTAGTAAATGTGCAAGCCGATCACAGCAGCATTTGACCTTTCCCCGTCATTTCCAAGGTGTAACATCTGGGCGTGATTGTACCTTTCGCATGTCTTCGCATTGGACAAACGTTACCCATCTCCACTTTCCAACAACTGTCGGAGAGAGAGAGCCGTCCATTGTTCCTCTTGAGGTGGATGTCTTACACGTGTGTCAAGTCACGGAGCGTAGATTCTGGAATTTCGGGGAGCCTCCACACGCCGACGTCCACTGACTGCCGTTTTTATGGCTGGAACTGAGAGACCCCTGAACCCTCTTCCACGTCATCATGGGCACACTTCCACCACACTGGGAACGGAGGTGACAGGTAATTGAACACCACCAGTCATCGAGTCGCGGTCGGATGGCAAGAAAAGGCAGGTGCTGGGATTTTCAGGACAAGAAAATTTGTTCTGCCCAGCTTTTGGTGCTGCTGACATGGGAACAGCTGACTAGCACAGAACATGCAGCTGGGCTCTTGGGCAGCGACAAGATCAAAACTACACAGTAGTCGAGAAGGTCGACCTCAAGCTGGGCACTGGTCTAGTGTAGTGTTGGTGGCTCTGCTTTCCTGGCGTGGTACCCGCCAACAGCTAGACAGCAGCGACAGGCTCCATTTCTAGTTTGTTCTCGCTCTAAAAGTTGTTTCGTCGTGAGTGAGTCGAGAGATCCTGTCGCCTCCTCGCCGACCTCGCCGATCAGAATACTTGACTCGCACAACTTGTTCTAGCTGACGCGCGCAGCGCGATCTGAGTGCGTTGTGAGAAGAGCAAGTATGGCCCTGGCGGGCCGAAGATTAGCTCAGGCGGCTGGATCGGTCATAGGATCTCAAGCAGCTGTGTTTTGGAGGCAGTTTTCCAATCTTTCGCGAGAAGTCGCACCAGCTGCGCGGCGGCTGGCTGCAGAACCTCAACATGCTCTGAGCGGTGTCGACAGAAGAATACAATGGGTCTTTTTGGGTTCACCCGGAGCAGGAAAAGGTACATACGCGAGCAGACTGAGCAAGTACCTTAATATTGCTCACATCTCTACAGGCGATCTGGTTCGCGAGGAGTTGAAGAACGGATCGCCGATCGCGATCAAGGCAAGTGTGGGAGGCCGTCGACGGAAACTTATTTTCAGCTAATTGACAATGTACTGAGCCCACGGCACGTGATATTCTCGATGGCAGATGCAAGAAGTGATGAATCGCGGTCAGCTCCTTTCTGATGATATTATCTTCGATCTTCTATCAAAACGGCTAGAGCAGGGTGTTGTCACGGGCGAAGGTGGTTTCATTCTGGACGGATTTCCTCGCACAGCCGTACAAGCAGTAAGTTTCACTGGGGCTTGGGAGTCCAATACGTCGTGATCCGCATGCTAATAGGCTGTAAGCACGACGGCCGTTAATCTTTCTGTGATTGGAGTTTGTCGCCCTCATCTGCCCCCTGTTCTGGTTCTGGTAGGGTGGTGATAAGCCGTTTCTCCGCTGTTGATGGGTCCTGTACACGGTCCTTATCATTTCATCCTTTTCCCCGTGCAGGAGGTATTGGAGTCCATGACACAGATTGACCTGGCTGTGAACCTGACCCTTCGGGAGGAAGTTCTGGTTCAGAAGATGCTGGGGCGTAGATTATGTTCAGACTGTGGCGGTAATTACAATGTTGCTAACATTGACATTCCCGCACAAGATGGAAAGCCAGCCATTTTCATGCCTCCACTGCCAGCACCAGCTGGTTGTGAAGGCAAGCTTGTCCAAAGGGCGGATGACACAGAGGAAACAGTTCTGGCTCGTCTGAAGGTTTATGAAGAACTGGTGAGGCTCCGTCAGACGTTTTGGCCCTGCATATGTCTTGGGTTTTCTGTTTCTAAACTGAATCCACCTTCTGGCATGTTCCCCGTGCAGAGCAAACCTGTGGAGGACTTCTACAATGAAAGAGGCCGCTTGATGGAATTCGAAATTACGGGTGGGATTCCTGAGACATGGCCTCGTTTGTTAGATTTTTTGGGAGTTGAGGGCCAGTGCGAAGCACTGGAAAGCGGTTCTAGGTAATGAGGAAAGCGTAGGTACCTTTAGGTAGTTAGCCACCTGGACCAGTTAGGTTTTGCCATGTCCACCTATTATACTCCTAGCATATCTTGTATGTGTCCTTCAATCATAAGGTGGTGTCGTAATACGGTACAGGAGTGTATAAGGACATGTCAAATTTTGCCACTAGATTGTTCAATTAGTGATAATATAAGATCAAGCAAACGACCAGCTGCTGGGTGAATATAGTGTAATGTCACTAAATTTTGCAGACCAAAGGGTGGATTTGTTTTAGAGATCTGGTGTACATTTCGCAACAAGATATGCTTTGATTTTCCAGCTTCATATCTTCAACAGCCCAGTGTATAGATCCTCACTGGACTTTCACCTCGCTTTCTGAAAGCAAAGAACAAAGCCCCAAAAGTCTTAGCGCAGCAAAAAAGCAGAACGTGAGATTAGTAGTTCACGCGGCGCCTGTCAGGGGGTAAATGCCCGCTGATTTGCCGCTTCCTGTATCCTGGCTTCAAATTCTTCGTTGCTTCTTCCACTCGCATCGCACACTCTTCGCAAAGAGGTTGCGAATCTCTTGCGGACATCCACAACATCGCCGCGCAGGGAATCACCCCACATGTAGTCGCAGAAGCAGGCGAATTCGAAGGTCATCTGGGATCCATTCAATCGCACATGGTTTGCACGAGCCATGGTTACGAGCCGTACGATCTTCAGGGGCGTCGCTATCGCAACGCAACAGAGTCCCCTGTCGCTCCCGTTTCTAGCATCTTCCATCAGTTCAGTTCCCTCCTTTTCTTCCCAGGAGTCAGGACGCCTCGGATCTGGGATTCTGGAACTTGGAACCAAGGTCAGGCAATGACCCCCACAAGCTTTGCTTGAAACCATATTTTAGCAGTGTCACAATAGCCTGGTACTTCTACCTGGAGTCTCTGTTGTGTTGTCCCTTCCTCCAGACGAATTAGCCCTAGATTACAGGACGTGCAAGATAGAGGCTAGTTCTTAGGAGGATAGACCTGATCCGCGTAGTTGTCAGTCTCTTTCCGCGCAGCCGTTTTTGTTTCCAACCTGAAGTGCTAAAGCTCTTGATTGGTGTTTCTTCCTTACAGTATGGATATTACGCAGGTTCTTTTAAATGCTCAGTCTCCTGATGGAAATGTCAGAAGGTTGGCGGAGGAAAACTTGAAGCAGCTTCAGGATTCCAACTTTCCGGCATACCTAGTTTCCTTGTCCCTGGAGCTTGCGAATCCGGAAAAGCAGACAGATTCTCGGCGGCTTGCTGGTCTCATTCTGAAGAACTCTCTCGACGCG